CTTGGTAGCCCAGGCTGGCCTCGAACTCACAGAGATCCACCTGGCTCTGCCTCCCGAGTGCTGGGATTAAAGGCGTGCGCCACCACCGCCCGGCATTACAGAACCTTTTTAAAAAAAATATTTATTTATTATGTTTACAGTGTTCTGCTTGCATGTATTCCTATAAGCCAGAAGAGGGCACCAGATCTCATTACAGATGGCTGTGAGCCACCATGTGGTTGCTGGGAATTGAACTCAGGACCTCTAGAAGAACAGCCAGTGCTCTTAACCTCTGAGCCATCTCTCCAGCCAGAATCTTGCTGAATTAATTTAATATACATGAAAATCACACTTTTTTGATTTTTTTTTTTTTTGAGACAGTGTTTCTCTGTATAACAATCCTAGCTGTCCTGGAACTCCGTCTGTAGACCAGATTGGTCTTGAACTCACATAGATCCACAAGACTCTGCTTCTCAAGTGCTGGAATTAAAGGCCTGTGCCACTACTGCTGGTTTGAAATTCACATCTTGTGATGGAATAGATACAGGTGTTTCTACAGGCAGCTTTCTTATCTAAATTCCTGTGATTCTCTGAGTTTGACAACCATTCTGAAGTAATAAAATATAATCAGTCTTCCTGAAAATGCAAGGCAAACAGAAGCAAACAAATGGCACTATGTTTACCTTAGGCAGAGGCTTGGCAGGTCTGCAGTGGAGTCCTCCAACATAATCAAAATTTGGTAAGAGAGGGTGAGGAAATTCCAAATCCCAGTAGGTTCGAATGAGCCATATATCTGCCTTCCCCATCAACTCGGTGAGTGTCGTGGGTCTTCCTGAAGAGGAATCAGAACAGGAAGGTTTAACCCATGACATAAGTGTCGGGGGAAGATGAATACGCCAGGAAGTCTCCTGAAACACTTTTGATAACATAGCCAGAGTTGTTTACAAGCATATGGCTGGGATATAAAACATATTTGCATATCTATGTATCTCTCTCTCTTTCTCTATCTATGTATATCTGAGTGTATAATGTTTGACACAAATTTGCACTATGTGTGTTTCTCATCTTTATGCTTAGAGACATATGACGTCACTGTGCAAGTAACTTGGGAAAACACATCTGTAACACACCTTGGAAATTCACGACTATCAAATATCAAAATATGCCATTGAAGTATAATCAATGCCATTATCTATGAATCCTGTTTGTCATAGGGAAACACTTTTCCCTGCTATTCTCCATCAAGATTTCCCTGTTTAGCTGCTGGAACCTTGATTTGTGGTCCTCTAAGGGAACTGAGAATTTTGTGCTGTTTTGTGTTGTTTGGAGATAGTCGGATGGGGCCCAGGGTGGTCCCTATGTCACTATGTAGCCATAGTTGACCTTGAACTCCAGATCCTTTTCCTTCATGTCTCAACTGCAAGGATCTAGGTGTGTGCTGTCATGCCCAGTGTACACATGTGTGGGGATTCAGCTTCAGCACTTCATTTGGAGACAGGCTCTCACTATATCACCCTGGCTGACTTCCAAGAGAATTTTGATTATGCCTGAGTTCCTTGCCCTCATACTGCTCTTGATTCCCAATTGACTGTGTAATAATTAGGTCTGGGTAAGTTTGTTTGCAGATAAGGATAACAAGTCTTAAAAGATGAAAAGAGAGTTGTTTACTCATTAGATATATTTTAAAACACTGTAACTAGTAAGCATTACTTCTACACTTCAATGTTATACATTTTGAAAACAATTTCAACACTCCTAATAAATAAATATAGATTCTCCAAAATTTTAAATTCACATATTTTCAGTGCTCATTATGTAGACAATGTATTCACAGCTGTGCAGAAATTTAGCAGGTGAAATGAGAAAATATTTCAAATTGTAAATGAGAAAACGAATGTATAAAAGGGAAAAGTTCTCAATGCTATGTAGATACCTATGCTAGAGATACTTAATGGTCTTCAGTGTAATGTGTACATCATGAAAACATTGAGTTTGTTTAAAGCTACTGTTTTAGGGACTAGTGAAATGTGTTAGATGGTTAAAGTGTTTAACATGCAAGCTTAATGACTTGAATTCAGTCCCCATGCACTTCTGAACACCTGAATTGATCCTGAGCATCCAAATAAAGATGGAAGTAAAAAGTCAACAAATTTGAATCTGACTTCCACATTTGTAACACAGAGCAAAAGCACCCCACCTTAGACACAAGTGTTCATGTGAATACTCATGATAATAAAAGTAATGACAGCAATAGGATGATGATGATGATGATGATGATGATGATGATGAAGATGGTGGTGGTGGTGGTGGTGGTGATATTGATGATACTACTTCACAGGTAAAGCTATATTTTTAAAACATGAGGTAAAATGGCTTGTGGATATGCTATTTCTTAGAGACATTCTCAAAACTTTCTTTTGTGGGTGCATACCTATCTGAAATGTCCTGTTTTAGTCATAGGCAAGACTTTGCAATTGACATTGGGACATGAATTTTTCTACAATGCTTTGAATTTGGGAGAGAATTTCACAGACTTTTCATCACTGTACTTAGGAGACATAAATCTTTCTTGCTAGCAATTCTGTTCTATCAAGCTCACTTTCAATAACACAGCAAATTTAGAAAGCAACAATCCCAACTAAATAGGCACTTACCCAATACTTCACTATAAAGCTGATTCCACTTCTTCTCATTATATGTTTGGAACCAAAAGTCAAAACAAAGCACATAGATTACATTTTGCACCCGCTCCATGAATGTCATTCGGTCACTCAATTCTGACATAGCAGGAGGCACATAGGAAGGAGGCAGTGGGAGTCCTCCACTGTACTTTTCATATGTGGATCCAGGAAAGAAGCGGAGACTGTACACAAGTGGTATCTTGAGAAGCTCAGCCAGTAGGTCACCACAGGGCATGAAGGGATCTGCTACCATGACGTCAAAGCTTGAATTGTGTAGTTTTGTCATGAGTTCCTTGTTAAAAACTGCATCTTTGCAGAGACTCTCAGAAAAGTCAGAGTCTAACCAAAAAAGTTCTTGCAACATTAAAAAATATCTCCAAAGTGATTGCTTTGGCAATTCATAAATGTGTTTCCTGAGTGAGCCCACAAAAAGTTCCTCCAAATCAGCCATGGGAAAGGATGAAGGGTAGGTCTCAAACTCAATAGCAGACGTGTTCTCGACCTCATAAGAAAGTGAAGCTGAGGGTATCAGAACAGTCACTTCATGGCCCTTCTTCACAAGTTCTTCTAGGATTATCTTTAAGTTGAGCCAATGGCTGTATTCCACTGGCCACACCAGCACCTTCCCACCACTCCCAGATCTAAAGAGGCCACTCAGTTGTAGTAGAAGCAGGGTTGCTGTCATTTTCACAGACATCTTGGTTAAATCCAAAGCTGCCTTTCAAATGGCGATTACTCAGATCTTGTGGATACAGACAGTGTAATAATTAGTTAAAGTATAACTTGTACCCACTAAAGCAAAGATAGTCACAGCTTCTGGATGCCAAGTGCAAAAACCAGGAGGCAGATGTGAACATGTGAAATGACTCTTGATTCTCAGTGACCCTGAATATATAAAGTACTTGGAGAACAGCAGAAAAAAGTTCCCCCTCTCTGTCTCTCTCCTTCTAATGCAGCTTCTTTGATCAAGAACTTACAGAAAAGAACAAAACGGTCGAGTCACATTTTTAAAAATATCACAGTCTAATGTGTCTTCATATGAATGTTGGCAACATCATTCCTTTATCATACTATCAAATGATATTGATGATACTACTTCACAGGTAAAGCTATATTTTTAAAACATTGATTTTAAATAAATGGTTCAGAGGTCCTTAGTATAACCTTAGAATTAGAAATACTGCAATTAAATTTAAAGCTGATTTTAATCTAGATAGAAGCCCTGGTCTTTTAGTCTTTCCATTAGTTCCAGCTCTACCCAACCAGGAATCTGCTTCTTGTAATTAGTCACCCTGGCAGGAATGAATATATTCTAATGAGACACTTCTGCCTCTCCCGTTGATTATGTGACTATTGAAAGAATAGATGCTAAGAAATTAGAATTTTCCTGGTGATCTTCTGCTGGGAGAAGAATTGTCTGATGCATTGGGGGCACCCAGGAGGAATCTGCCTCAAGGACCATTTACAAGTTAGGGGGGCACAAACATTTCTGAAGAGCCTAGGAGCTAAGATAATGGTGGGCAAGGGGACACATCGTGGCTGGACTGCTTAGCTATGCATATGTTTTGTCAGAATCCCAAAGATGGAGTTAGGTAATGGTGACTAGTTTTCTCTGTTTCTTTTCCTAAAGTGATTACAATGAATAAATATATTTTTTTTCTGCATTTCTCAATTGATTTGGCTCCTTTAATTGGCTTGTGTGTGTGTGTGTGTGTGTGTGTGTGTGTGTGTGTGTGTGTGTGTGTGTGTAAACTGACTTGTTGGGACACACAGGGTTTGACTTCTGTGTGTCATGAAATATCCTTGTTTCCTTATTCTGAGCTTTTCATGTAGCTGGTATAAAATGGGTGGTGCTTTTGTGATTGGCTTTGATGCTTATAAGGGTTTAAAGTACTGCCATGTTACAGGAGGTCGCCAAGTTTCTTTTATGTAATGTTAAATCCATTTTGTAACAGAAAGTCCACACTTAATCCCTTATTTTCATTATTCCCACATCGAGGCAAAATATCATTAGAAAAATTCCAGAGTGCCTCCCTGCTTAAGGTCCCATGGTGTCTCACACACAGCACCAAGCAAACCATGAGCTCCTATGTGGCCTCCACCTCAGAGAGCAAAGGCAAGAGGTCTGAGCAAGCTGGGACAGGAAAGGGGGGATGGGTGAAAGCACCATCACGCTCTTGGGCGGAACCCGGTTTACCCTGACCTGTGCTCTCTGGGAGTCCCGCAGTGGGAACCCCCGGAGAAGGATGGCAGAGTTGCTCCTGAGTGGGCAGCGAAGATAGGGACACCCATGCAATGCGTAGCTGTCCTTGGTGTGAGCACGAAAGAAAGCGGTGCAACAGGGAGTCCAGGGAGCTGGGCAGGCAGGCAGCATGGGCGGAGACTTCTTTCAGGACCTCGCGGGAGTTTAACAGACTCCGGGCTGGGACCTGGGAAAATAGGGATCCACCCTGCCTGCTGCCTAGTCTCTATCCCAATTCCCCGGGTGAAGTGTGTGTGGATTTGTTCTTACTTCTCTTTGATATGTAACTACAGGAGCCAAATAATCAGGATCTTTAAAGTCTGTGGTAGTGGCAAACTGTTTCCAAGGAGCTGCTTGGTTGCCATCCACAGCAGAGTACAGCAGTATCCTGATGTCTCCCCTTGCTCTCTACTGTTTCTCTCTTGATTACAAGAAGTTAAGAGGACGAAGCCTGTGGTTTTCAGTTGTTTTGAGCTGAGCCTGAATAACTTTAAGAGTAATGATGCTGAACATACTTCCCCATGCGTTTTGGCCACCTTTAACTCTTTCATGGAAACTGTATATTCAGATCCTCTGTCCATATTTTATGGCTGAAAAAATTTTGATGGGTGTTCAGTTTTTTTATATGGGGTCATGTCATGTGTTTTCCCTTCCACCTTATGCACTTATGACCTTTCTTTTAAGTTAAGTTCTTTTTGGGGGAATATGACTTTCAAATGCATTTTCCATCTTTGTGATTTTTCTTTTCAGTACTTTCAATAATGTTTTTTTCATGCAGAAAAATTTTCATTTGTATGAGTCCAATTAATGAAGTTTAGCTTAGTTTCTCCTGCTTTTGAGGTCAACAGAAAAACTATTTTCAAATTTGATAACAAATATATTTTCACACTTTTATCAATACCTTTTATATAAGTTTTACCTTTATTTTTTAAAGCATGTTAAATGAACGTTTGCATATGGTAAGAGGTGGAGGTCCATTTTTAATTTTTCATGCCAATAGTTTTCCTAGCAGCCTTTAGCTCTTGATAATTAAAGAAAAAACAAAACAAGCAAACAAAAACAAACTCTACAACTCTTCCATGGGTAGTTTTGTGATCATCATCAAAAATCAACCAAATTGCATATTTTTATATTCTCTATTACTTTAGCACTTTAACACAATACATAATAAAGCATACAAATGTAAAAAACACCATTATGCATTAAGAATTATTTAATGCCAATATGTGAATTAATATCATTATGCGTTCAAAAAAAAAACTATAGATGTTACCTGTGCCAAAGAACCCAATATATTGATGCAACAGTTGTTTTTTAAATAAAGCTAAAAGCCAATCCCAGATCAGCAAACAATTGTGAAAGTATTATTTCCCAACACTATACCACTGAAAATGGAGATGAATCCTAAGCACTGTCCATTTTACTTTGGAGCTTTGGATGACTATTTAAAAAGAGTTATCTATTAATGAAAATCTTTTGGTAAATGTTACAAGACAAATGGTTGGACAGTTTTTATTTCCCTCGGGTTTGAAATATTCTGATAAAGTGATGTGTTTTATGAAATGACACTATGTTTTGCAAACTATGCTAAGGTAAATGGAGGAAGTCAGAAGTGTTTATTATTTACAAATAAGTACTTTCAAAATGAGAACACTTTCTCATTTTGATAAAAAGAAAACAACATTTATGAAAGTGCTACTACATTACTTTTCAACCCAGAGAAACAAAATCTTTGAATCTTGGAGCTGGGGTCACTCAAAAACTAAGAGTGCTTGTGAAGAAAGTAAAAGATCTTAAGTTCAGATATCCAACACCCATAGTAAGTTTAAAATTGGTCCATGTGCCTGAACCCCCAGTGTTGGGTATCAGAGAGGGATAGATGCTGGTATTACAATGGTATTGGATGCCCATTAAGAAAAAGTTATTTTCTTCTGGTCAAAAGTGTGGAATCTACCTTTGGGTGTGGACAGGCTATTGTCTCCTCCCTTAAGCTTGGTCTAGTTGGGTTACTCAGTCACCTGGCTAAGGATCCACCCCTCAGGAAGGCCAGTTCTCCTTAAGCTGAGTTAAAGTGCTGGGAGAAGTAATTACTCCTTTAATGCACTTTTTCCTTCCCAGAATTCCTCTGTCTGTGCAGTCCAGCAGCAGCCATGTGCTGTGCCTGCTGACTTTCCCAGATCCTTGCTCAGAAAAGTGTAGCTTTTTTGTTTCCTGCCCTTTGTCTTCTTCTTTCAAATACTTGTCAAAGCCTGGGTATGGTGATATTTTATTTGTACTGAAATGTGATTTTATTTGTATGTTAATAAATGAAGTTGCCTGGGGGTTAGAGCTAATAGCAAGCCATCGCAGAAACTGGGCGGTGGTGATGCACGCCATTAATCCCAGCACTTGGTAGGCAGAGCTAGGTAGATCTCTGTGTGTTCAAGGATACAGCCAGCAGTGTAGACACACGCCTTTAATCTCAATACCAACCATAGAAGATGTGGAGGTCTGTACAGACAGGCAGTCACTAGGAGGTCATGTGGTTGGGTTTACAACCAATGAGAAGGCAGAACAGAAACACAATAAAAAGACAGACACACAGGAAGTAGGTTTTTTTTTTGGAGAGGTAGGACCACCGCAACAGTAAAGGGTAAGGTTTTTAGCTCTTAGCTATTGCTCTGACCTCTTGGCTTTCATCTCTGTATTGGCTCTGTGTTTCTTATTTAATAAGACAGTTGGTTACATCTACACCTGGGCATGCCTTCCTCAATGTTCTGGATTTCTTATTCTAATTCCCAAGTTACCTTCCTATCCTTCTCCTGTGTGGTTGCTTACAAACTGTATAATTTATTAGTTTCCCTTCCTTATTACTACCTTTCCCTCCCAATGCTACCATATGGACGAACACACACACACACACACACACACACACACACACACACACACACATACACAGAGAATTAAAAGAAATCTGTGTATTTTAGTTTTGTAGGAAAGTAGTTAGAGAAAATAACACAAATTTTTCACAAAGGCTAAACAATACAATATTTAATTAGAATTGTTCTTCTCTGCCTTCCATATACATGTCCTGGCTCATAAATACCTCAAAAAGCCCATATTTACAATAACACAATAAAAAAATTAAAAATACAGTAAACATCTATTTTCTTCTTTTGTAACATGGAAATTCCTGGTTAAATAATAGATATATATTCAGAATTATTATAATATTATCAGATACCCTGGGACTGGAGATACAAGTTGTCATGAGCCATCCAAACTAGGTGCTTCTTACTGTACTCAGGTCTTCTGCAAGAACAATATGTGCTCTTATTCCTGAGCCATGTGTCCAGCTTTGTTTTCTGGTCATATCAGCTACTGCTGTTTCATAGCCATGGATTATCCCACCATCAGGTTTCCTTTCTAGTCACGTTAGTAAAAATCCAGGAATCCTAAACACCAGGAATACAACAGCAAATGGCAGTCATGTCTTAACATTGTGGTAGGGTGTAACACTCATTTGCATTTTCAGCAACAGCTTATACCCACACCACACTAACCTCCTCTTGGGCAGAGGCCATGCCTTACTCATTTTTATATCTCCCCTTCATAGAATGGCTTTTGAATAAAGTCATGTATCGAGTTCTATAATCCTCCTGTATATTATATGTTTCTCCTGGGTAGGATCAAATTCTAAGTGTAAAAACAGGACTGTACTACTCAGATAGCTAATTCAGACATAACTTGTTAGTGCTAATCTAGAATAGGAAGAATGCTTCTAGGCATAGTGTGGTTTCTGTATGTTGAGGAGACTATTTTTTGTTCATTTTTTTAAAAGAAAAACTAGGATTTTATTTTCACAGTTGCTGAACCTAGGAGCTACATACTGTCAAAACAGTTTAATGCTGACCAAGTTACATGGAAACTAATGTCTCTGACAGACATACTCTGGGATTTAAATGAACTATACTAAATAACCAAATACTAGTTGACTTTTCATGAAGCTGTTTGAACATATACTCTGTATTTAACTTCTCTACTGGGGCCACTAAGTGTCCGCAGCAGTAAGTTTGCTGCCTTAATTTTAAATGCTCTTTTTTGTCCTGTCCCAGGTAAGTTGTTTGTGTGAAAAATGTGCAGTTGGACTCTGGAGGGTGCTGGGAATCAGTTTCCCTGTGGTTTTTCCTGTTTAGAAAACAGTGTCCGGCTTGCCTCCGAATACAGAGTAACCATTCCTTGACGCCTGCTGTTGGAGGGATATATAAGCCCATGTGGGAAAGAATAAGGAGAGCTGCTTCCCTGACGAACTGAAACTGGGTGTCTAGAGTGCTGTTTAACGAAATCAGTGTCCCTAGCCAGATTTGGTGCTCCAGCTGTGCGGGTCACAGCAAGTGGAGGTCACCACAGGGACCTGGAAAGAGGGGTAAGTGAATGAGGCTCACCTTCACAAAGGAAGGGGGAGGATTGGATGTAACAGAGTAAAATAGGGTACGTACCATGGGTAATACTGCAAAAGCTCAGTTGGCCACTGAGGAACAGGAATTAAGTTAAGTAAGCAAGGAACAGGAATTAAGTCAAGTAAGCAAGGAACAGGATTAAGTCTATCACCACACTCACATTTGTGGACACCAGAGCTGAAGAAAGTCCTTGGTTTCTGACAGGAGGAGGTCTGAATATTCCAGATTGGGAAAGATGTTCTTCTGACTGATAAAGTGAAAGTGAAAGTGCAACTTTCAGAGTGCGAGCAAGCATTTGCTAACGCTCAGGAGGCAGAGATGAATGAAATTTGAAAAGGGAAAAGAAAGAGGTCGAGGTCCCTTGTAAAGAGCATATAAGGATTTTTGTGAAAAATTTAATGGATGAAGAAGAAGATGATGATCTTGCCTCTGTCTCAGGTTTAGTAGAGGAGGAAGAGCAGCTAGAAAAAGAGATAGAGGAGCTACAACAGAAATTGTGCCCTGCAAAAGTATATTGGCAAAAAAAAAGGGGTGTGTGTATGGTGTGGCATGAAACATATCCAGTCACTGAAACTCAGAATCAAGCTGGACAGGTGGTCCGGGAGCATGTTCCTTTAACTTTAAAAGATGAAGCCTCAGGGAGAAGCTGAGCCGTTATGGAGTTTAGTAAGAAATCCACCTGTGTTACTGCCTGTGAGTATTGATAGCCCTTTTTTTCCTGCTGTATTTTGTTCTAATTGGACAATTGGTACTGCTGCCAGCAATGTAAAACTCCAAGAAGGTTTTGTAAATATTACTTTGCAGTTAAAAAAATGCTCTTTGTTTTGAAAAAAAAAAATAGTACAGCTGGCAAGCAGCTTTCAAGATTGCCTAGTCCTGAGTAATACTTCTTTGGCAGACTTTGTAGGTAGTTCCAGCATGTCCCATGCTGAGGGTCTCCAAGTGCTCCTTTCCCTTTTGTTGTTTGGAATGGTGATGTGGGAGGGGAGGGACTACTGACTACTAAACTGTTCAGTTCTAAATTGTAGCTTGAATAATTGCTGGAGTGCAAATTGGTCCCATGTAGTGATTGTGAGAATACCTGCATTTGCAGTGATGCCTCTAGAGAGTCCTTCTGATCAGTTTCCGCTGCAACTGAAGAGGACAAGAAGAGACTTTGGCATTACTGCCACAATTGTTGCCGCTGTGGGTGCATCTGCTGTTGCTGCTACAGCTGCTGGGCTTGCATTATCTCAGACTGTTCAACAGGCTGCCGTTATCAACACATTATCTGAGAGGGTGGCTAGTGCCTTGGACATTCAGCAAACATTGAATGGACAATTACACTTTGGAATTCTGATGCTTAATCAGCAAGCAGTACTGTTATAAGAACAAATAGATATGTTGTTGATACGCCAACATATGTTATGTGCTTATGAAATGTCAGAAGTTTGTATAACCCCTCATGCAGCTTTTAATGTATCGGCCAAGGTTGCAGAATTGAATGCTTATTTGCGAGGGCCTTGGAATGGGACATTTTTGAACTAAGGATTAACGAAACTAGAGTTGTTCCTGTAAATGGTCATTAATGTCTAAAGCTGCTGGGTAGATTACTAGATGGGCAGGGTCTGTTTCCCTCTTATTAATCTGTACAGGCGGTATGGGAATTGGGTTATTTCTGCTATGCCGATGGCAACGCCAGTTCACTCGACACTGACAGGTAACCAAGCAAGCCCTTCTGGCCACGTCACCCTCTGAATCTGCACAAGTGTGGTTACAAATGTTGGACAGATAGTACCCAGAGACGGGCAACTCCTGTGGTCCTCATGTGACCTAAGGCAGGGGGCATAAGGGTAGCCCCCCCCCTGGACAAATAAGTTTGGGGATTGCAACAGGTGACCTAAGACAGGGGCTATCTGATCTTCCACAGGCTGTTCTAGCCGATGTGTTCCTTTTAAAAAATAAAAAGGGAGGACATGTCAGAAGCAGTAAGTTTGCTGCCTTAATTTTAAATGCCCTTTTTTGTCTTGTCCCAGTTGTTTGTGTGAAAAATGTGCAGTTGGGTTCCGGAGGGTGCTAGGAATCAGTTTTCCTGTGATTTTTCCTGTTTGGAAAACAGTGTCTGGCTTGCCTTCAGATCCAGAGTAACCATTCCTTGACTCCTGCTGTTGGAGGGGTATATAAACCCATGTGGGTAAGAATAAGGAGAGCTGCTTCCCTGACGAACTGAAACTGGGTGTCTAGAGTGCTGTTTAATGAAATCGGCATTCCTGGCCAGATTTCGTGCTCCAGCTGCACGGGTGGCAGCAACCAAGTACAATTCCAATTAAAAAAAATTAACTGTCACCAAAGAACAGCATGGATTTTATAGTCCAAGTGGTCATTTGGAGTGCTTGGCCCTTAGAAACTGTCCTTCCTTTGAATTTATAGGAGAAGCTCATAGTTGACACCAGTTTTGGGTCAAAAATCTGTGTCCAGACAGGACATATAACAAAGGGGGAACCTACTGCTATATTCTGCTAAATGACTATTGCATTAAACTGATTCCTAATGACTAATAGCTATACCAATAGCTTAAAGAATCTCAAGTCTCACCAAGAATATTTTGGAGTAGATAGTGATTAGTGTGGAGTCCTACAACTGGCTCAGGAACAGAGCATAAACAATGCTAAGTCATAAATGGGACATCTACATCACATACCATCCCTCCAAGCCTCAGGTTATTGCTGAAAAAAGCTAGCAAGAGCTAGAGGTGGTAGATAACTACAAGGAACCTGTGTGCTTCATGTGCACCCAGGCATCTGTACTATGACTCTCATGGATTGTGACAGATTGTGACAGCAAGGTCAAGCCAGAACAAATCTCAGCATGGAGAGGAGAGGTGAACTTGGAGTCCCACCCCTAGCTGGGGAGTTATTAGTAATTGATATTGTTGGGAGAAGAGCCAGATCTTTTATAAGAATATTGCTTGTGATAAGTCTACCACACTCCAGTGGAAGGCTACATATCCAAGAATATCTGGGCAGCTCACATTGAACTGGAAGGGTGGGGGGAAAGGACACAAAGTTGGGTGGCTAATGAGCAGAGGTGAATCTGAGCAGTTAGGAGAGAGGTTTAATATAATTCAAACATAGGATACCAACTTCTCAAATAATAAGACTTTAAGGAAGACTACATGGGCTCAGTGGTTAAGAGCAATGACTGCTTTTCCTGAGGACATGGATTCAATTCTCAGTACCACCATGGTGATTCTAGTTCTGGCCTCATGATCACCAGACATGCAGGTAGTGCAGAGGTGTACATGTAGGCAAAACAATCTGTGTGTGTGTGTGCATGCATGAGCATGTGCACAAGTGTGTGTGTGTGTGTGTGTGTGTGTGTGTGTGTGTGTGTGATTGTTGATTTATTTGTTTGTTTGTATATTTTTTGAGAATGGGTTTTTCATATAAACCTAGAACTGTTGGCTGTCCTAGAACTGTCTCTGTAGCCCAGGCTGTATTGAAACTCAGAGATCCACCTGCATCTGCCCTTGGAGTGCTAGGGTTAAAAGTGTGTACTACCACATCTGGCTACTGTTTTATTTATTTTGTCATTTTATATCTTTTTACATATAATAACTTTTTTTTGGAGACAAGTTTTCTCTGTGTAGCCTTGTCTGTCATGGAACTCATTCTGTAATCTAACCTGGTCTTGAAGTCACAGAGATCCCCTTCTATCTGCCTCCAGAGTGCTGGGATTAAAGGAGTGAGCCACCACTTCCAGGCTACATGAAATAATTTTTTAAAGAGTTAAAAAAGAAAAAGTTAAAGTTAGCGAGGCAAGATGGCACACACCTTTAATACCAGTACTCAGGAGGCAGATGCAAGTATGTTTCTATGAGTTCAAGGCTAGCAAGGCCTACTTAGAGGATTTCAGGATATGCAGAGCTACATAGTGAGAGTCTGTCTCAAGTATACAAGTCAACAATCATGAAGAAGAAGCAGTAAAAAAATAGAAAGAAATAAAAAAGAAAGTAATAAACAAAGAAATAAAAGTTTCACTCCAATCACTGGCCTGAAGTGTTGGCTCTGCAGTTAAGAGCTCTGGTTGCTGTTCCAGAGGACCCAGATAGATTCCCAGCACCCACATGGCTCTCAGACATCTGTAATCCAGTCCCCGTTTCCTAATCCATCCTCTAGCTTCTGAATGCACCAAGCACGCATGTGGCACACACACATGCATGCCGAGAAAACACTCATGTAGCATGGAGAAATAAATAAGATTTAAAAATAGGGACCCAAAATGAAATTTTAAAAAGGTAGGCTTGGAGAGGGATTAGAATACCTTATAAAGATGTTTTTATAAAATAAAAACTACAGTATGGAAGTTAATGAGGCAATATGCCTTTAAATTCTAGATATGCAGAGACTGCAATTAAGTGCTATCCGAGGCAAAAAGAGGGTGTTTGAAGTGAACCTTGGAAAGGGCATGTCACCTTGAACCCACTTGATCACATCTAAGGTAAACTTTGGTTTCTACTCAGGATTGCTTTGAATCCAAATATTGGCAGGAGCTGGAAACTGCTTCAGTTCCTATAATTTTTTCCCTTTGAACAGTCAGTGTTCTTTTAACCCTTGCAAGCAATGTTTTCTTTTGGCCAGTGTTGCCTTTATAGCTAGATCCTGTAACCTGGCCACACTGGCATAAGGTTTCCACATCCATGGAACTCTCTTGGCCATGTTCAGCTCTCTTCCTTATTTCATGCATTTCTAGCATCAGCTTGGTTGTGTTTTCCCAGGGTTAAGACACAGGGGTCACATTCTTTCCTGGGTTCAGAAGGAGCAAGGGCTTGTGACTGACCAGCTTTCTCATCTCTCCTTTTGTTGGACACTCTGCACTGTTGCAGTTACTCTTCCTTCCTGTCCTTGTCCATGCCTGATACTCCCCTCCCTGGGTAACCTGATCATAATTCTTTTCCCAACCTTTTTATTGTGGTGATATTTTGTATATGCTCTAACAAATAAAGCTAGGCTGGAGATCAGAGTGCGAAGCTAGCCACTAGTTAACCATAGAGGCCAGGCAGTGGTGGCACTCACCTTTAATCCCAGCACTTGGAAGGAGAAAGCCGAAAGATCAGGAGGTCAAGGCCACCCTGGGCTACATGAGATTTATCTAGTCTAAAAGAGAAATAGAGCCAGGTCATGGAAGCTCATGCCTTTATTCCCAGCACTAGGGAGATCGAGACATTAATACAAGGTGGGAGGATAGAGGAGCTCAGCCATTCAGTTTGAGGATTTGGTAGAGGTGAGCAGTCTCTCTAGTGCCTGGCTCCTTTACTTCTCTGACCTTTCAGCATTTACCCTGATATCTGACTTCAGGATTTTATTATTAAC